GACAGAATAAGGACAATTCCATGCCAGTAAATTTGAAAATACAGATGAAATGGACAAATTCCTAAAAGAGTAGATCTCATTAAAGCTTATTCAGGAATAAAAAAAAACCCCACAAAAACCTAAATAGCTATATAACCTTTAAAGAAAATGAATCAGTTGGTAAAAATCTTCCAACAGCAGATCCAGAAAGTTTTGCTGGAGAGTTCTGTCAATCAAGGAACAAATAACTCCAAGCTTATACAAACTTCTACAGAGAAGAAAAGGAGAAACAAACTCATCTCATTCTGAGGCTATTAAAACTTGGATGCCAAAACGCAAAGGATGTATGAGAAAGAAAAAATGACATATCAGTTTCATGCACAAAGACAGATGTAGAAAGTCCTAAACAAAGTTATTAGTAAGCTGGGTCTAGGATACAAATAATGACCATAGTGAGTTAATCCCAAGAATGTAAGGTCGGCATAACATTAACTTTCCAATATAATGCACCCCATTCATGGATGAAAGGGGACAATCCTAAAACCTCTTGCTGTCTCCCTCCACTGCTCCCAACCAGGATTTCCAGCCCGTCTCTGTCCAGAGTTCTTTAGGAGATGACCTTGGTTGATGAATTCCCTGAATAGGTTTTAGTTCTCACTGTGCTTCACCTTTTTGGGGCCACTGCTAACCTCTCTTTCATTCTTGAAACACCCTCTTGCCCTGATGACTGGTCGCTCACTGCAACATCACAGTCCTTTCTCTTTAATCTCCCCTGTTGTTCTCCCTCTAACTTCATAGCCACAGTGTTTTTAGCACCTTTTATGTGAACTGTTGAAATAACTTGTTTTTATTACCTTTTAAATATTTATTAGGGAGTAAATATGTGCAGCATTCAGAAGATATAAAGGGTCATTTCCTAAAGGACCACCTCCCAAGCCAGCTATCCGTCCGCAGATGCAGCCATTGTTCACACATCTCTTGTGTATCCTGCCAGAGAAATGCACTGCATACAGGCATACACACACCTTTCCTTGTTTATTTCCTGTGCACATGGAGGTGTACCACACGCTGTTCTTTCCCTTGCTCTTTCCACTCACAGAATGTGCTTGGAGATCGTGGAGCTGCTTTGTTCCTCTTTAAACCAGGCAGTGTACTCAGTTATCCTAATTGCTCTTAAGTTCCTCCCCTGGTTCTCTCTACCCGTCAAACTGTCTGCAGACTAATCTTTCTAAACTTCCAAGTGCTCGTGTCACAGAATAGGGATTGAGCCTTCCTTGGCTCCCACGCAGCTGTGGGCGAAGTTCACAGTTCACAGCCTCTTTCGCTCCGCCTGCTTGGCCATGTCCCTCTGTTTGCCTGTCTCTCACCCCTTTCCAGCTCATCCTGGATTGTGCTGTATCTGGATTCCATGCTTTACCCCAGCCCCTCTCCACTTCCACACTGGCCTGGGCCCTCGCACTTCTTCTCTGTGAGGATGCCCATCACAGTTCGTTCAGCCAGCAGTCCCCTTAAATCCTAAACATGTCTTAGGGGGTTGTCATCTGTCTGTGAAGTCTCTGATCCCTCCCAGGAAGTGTTGGCATGGCTTCCTCTGGGCTCCCATGTTCCCCACAATAATATCGAACATAGTTTACGTGTCCTTCTCCAACTAGAGTTGGTGCTATAGGGCAGAATTACTTGTGGGGCTTTAGAAAATCTCACATGGCTGTACTTCATCCCCATGGATGTGCCCAGTGGGTGTGGGCCTGACACGGTGCTGGATTACGAAGCAGTGCAGAGATCAAGCTCCTCCCTTGGAGAGAGGACTTCTGCTCCCCTGACTTCTCCAGTGCCTCGAATCAGCTCAGCGTGAGGCAGGAAGGTACTGACCATCAAAGGAATGTGCTCAGGCTAGGAGCAAGTGGAAGCAAGTATTGATTGATAGTGTGAAACTTTTGTTCTGAAGCTGGTAGGCAGTGGGGTAAAAGTTGATTGCTTTTAGGAGAGTGGTGTTTCAAGGTTAATCCAGCAGAAGGAGAAGGAAGACCGGAAAAGCAAGAACAGTCAGGTGGCTACTGAGGAATGCAGGCCTGTGCTAAAATGGTCCTGAACTCCAGAGGGGGCCTGGAGGGGGCCTGGAGGGGCAGTGGGCCAAAATGACACAACAAAAGGAGTCAGCAGAGTGTCTGGGAAGAAGGAAGAGTCACAGATATCTGAAAGTTTTGTATGACAAAGCCTGGGGGTGGGTCTTTGACCAGCATAATTCAGCTTTGGGGTTTGGCAAAAACAGAGCTTTCAGATGAATACTAGGGAGACCTCATTTCTTGGTCTGCTCTGCAGTCTGGCCATTTAGAACCTAGATGGCATGGGTGATGGTGGAAGGAGGGCTTTATGCATATCACCCAGGTGTTCCTGGGCCTTTCTGGCTTGTTCATAATGAACAAGGTGCCACCTCCCTCTCCTGGCTCTCATGCACTCACTTCAGGGACTTCACCGGCCTGTCTACTACCGCCCCCCCAGATCCACCAGGACTATCAACTGGGACAGCTGCTGTCCCCCTGGCAGGTGCATATTCACTAAGACTGCAGAGCAGTTGTGACCTCCTTGTTCTCTTTGCCCAACTGATAATCCAGACCTTAACAGAAAAGGATGCTACTAGTAAATAATGGGAAATAAACACAAGTAGAAGAGAATAAACAGAAAATGAGCACATTTGGCTCATATTTCTGCTCCCGTGGGACCAGGCTTTTCATGACTTCTTAGTGACACTGTTCTGTTCCTTAGCAGAAGTCAGTTTCTTCATTAATGGGCTAAGTGAGTCTGATCCTAGACTCATTTTTTTATAAAGTGCAAACCCAGAAAGTAAACCCTTGATTGGACAAGGAGACCTAAGTATTTTCCTGGTAAATAATCTTCAGAGACTCACAGCTGGGATCCCTGCTGTGAAGTCTGTTTGCTCCTCGTTGTGGTACCTCCCAAGGAACCCCATATTTTTAGTTCCTGGGGAACTAGGGCTAGGAAGCCCCCAGTTCTCGATTCCCTAAGAGATCACAGAAGATTGACACCTTGAGCCTGAGAAGGATGTTGAACCAAGGTTTTCACTTTCTCCCCCACAACCTCTGCCTTCTTGAGAATTCTGGTTAACTTCCTCATTCTTTCAAAAGAATAATTTATAAAAGCCTAAATGTTTATAGTTTTACAGCAACAGAATAGCTTTTAAAATTATAGCAACATAAAAAAAAAGGTATACTCTTGAATGGTGTGGTAAATGACCACCCTCCCATCACACTGCAAGGGACCCTGTTCTTACCGCCAGACCTATAGCAAAACTCAAATACTTTCCCACGACAGGGCAGTTGCCCTGGGATCCCTCATTGTGTGAGGTGAATCAGTATTTCACATTCCCGTCTTTCTTCTCACCATAGTGTGCAGGGGGAGACGAATGCCCCGCATCCCCCTCCTTTCCTGGGAGCAGTGCAAGGAGTGAATTAAAACTGAGTCACTGGGTAGGAATCTGCAGATCAAAAGAATCTAAGGTTTAGCCTCTGTATTTCCTGTCCACCTTGCCCGAGGCCAGCTCCTCACGGTCAGAGATACGGCTGCACATTTGCCTTTGCCTTGCTTTGTCACCAGCCAGGTGTCATCAGCACACTTGGTGTGTCTGTGTGTGTCTCTGTGTGCTAGAGTTGTGTTAGGCATTTCATTTACAGACTGACTGCTGTGGGGAGTTTCACTGTGCAGATCTGAACTTCTGAGTTGCTTAGTATTGGCTATGTAGACAATTGAAAATCTGTATATTGTTTAGGCTTTCTTTTTATAAACAAATGTTAAAACATTTTAACAGATTCGTAAGTCTTTTTTTACCATTTGGAATAATGGCAACTTACAAAAAGTATATATGCCCAGAATCTCTGGTTCCCTAACCTTGCCCTTCAATTGCCGTTTTACTTGTGCTGATTCACTGGAAAAATTAAGCGAAATGGTGTGAGGAATAGTTTCCTTTTTAATCTGTTCTGATGGCTTCAGGATTTTTCTGAGACGATTTCAACAGTAATTTTTGAAGTCTTAAATGACCCCCTAAAGGTGTTCAATACTGATTGAACTTTCTCTACAAATAATCAAGTCTCTATTAAAAATTAATATATGGAGTGTGAATTAAAGATGGCAGCCCAAGAGAGTGTATATCAACGATACCTTAAAAAAAATATATGAACAAGCTTGCACAGCACATGATTGCACACACATACCCCAGACTGTACTGTGGTCCTTTGGGCTCCCAGGCCCTCAGTATTACAGGGGCTCATTAGGCAATGGCAGTATTTTCGGTAAGAAGACGCTGAGCATCCATCTCTTCGCTTGCGGGAACATCAGGTCCTATGTAATCAGTATGCATATGTAATCAGATTATGTGATTAGTCTTCTTTGGTCTTCTAGAAAGTTTTATTAAACTCAGTTGTCTGTTATTCAGGGACTGAGCTGAATTTCCTGCTAAGAGAGTCAGGACTGCATGAAACTAAAGGGCTGAGAGGGGGCAGTTTCGATGGCTTAGTTCCTGAAAGTAGTAATTTAGCGCACCTTCGCGCTGCATGAAGAAATCAAATGTGTCCCAAACTTCTGCTCGTCATCTGTTAGCCCTTGTCACTTCACTCAGTGCTGAACTACAGTGAGGCTGGAAAAGGAATGTAATTTTGCCGTGTCTGAGGCAGAAAAGACTCCAAGTAACGAGCAGCACAGGGAAAACCCTAGTCTGAGTGTGAAAGAGCCCTCGGTGCCAAGGAAGGTGCCAGAGCATTATTTGTCAAATTTCCAGCACCAGGGTGATGTCTGGTACACCCGTCTTTCCTTAAAAACAGTTTCGGCATTTCCACAGTGGAGAAGGATATAAAGGAGAAATGGAAGTGAGAGTCACAGACAGGCCGACCTAGGGGTGCTTGCTATTCTCGCCCCGGTGGTGGTGGCTGCGGATGAGTCTGACCGAGCCTTGCGTCTGGGGACTGTCTAGGCTCACTCGCCCTGTCCCTGTGTGCTTGCCCGCTCCGCAGGTGATCTTCTGCTCCGGGATGGGGTGCTGGCCCCATCCCAGCTTCCCGTGATCAAGCCTGCGGGCTATTTCAGTGGGGATGCCTGCGCAGCAGCAGAACTCATACTCTTCCGAGATGGCCTCTGACCTGTCGCCGGACTGCGGGCTCAGTGACCTGGGCAGAGGGGACAGTCTGGAGAGAAGCAGCAGCGGCTCCCGCTCCAGGAGCTTCACCCTGGTGAGTGACGGTTGTCTTTCCTGCTTGGACGCTCACGCCGCGCTTGGCCGACTTTGACCCCACTCCCTCCCTTCTGAGGAAGATCTTGTAAGTCCTTTTGCTGTTTGGAAATACTTGATTTGTGAAGTGGCATTTTATTTTTAGTCACCTTAAAGTCTGCACAAATACAGAGAGCATTACCCACAACAGGAAAGTGGATCTCTCGCTGTGCCAGTAAGGGGACTGCAGAGACCCCCTAGGACCCTGCCCTAGGCAGCAACTGGGAAGGGCCCTGCAGCCCTGCAGTTCAAAGACTGACATAGAGAAACACCATACAGTGTAGAAACAAATTCACTTTAAAACGATGGTCACTCCTTTGCAAATATAGGTGCTTTGGGGGCCTTTTGCTCAGAATCCACACCCTGACATAGGATCCACAAGCTCTGGGAATTTGTACAAAATTAGTCTTTAGTCTTAGAAAAGTTAAGAAATGACCTTTCTGCATGCCCATCCCTCAGGGTATTCATCTTTCAGGAGAGAGACTCTCATGTTCATAGCAAGAAGGCAGGGAAAGTGACCTTGGGCCTTACTAGTAACAGCCTATTATTGTTCATCACATTGCTTCTAACAGTGGCAGCACCAATTTCCTTCAGATACACTGAACCTTAAAATTAAACCCCAATATGCTGAATATAAGCAAGATATATATGGCATAGAGGGCAGTTAGTAGTAATGACAGAATTTTATAGACTCCCACTTGCATATGTTTTTGGTAAACTATCATGGTAATATATAATAAATATTTGATTGATTTGCAAGATATATATGCATAAAGGGCAATTAGTAGTAATGACAGAATTTTATAGACTCCCACTTGCATATGTTTTTGGTAAACTATCATGGTAATATGTAATAAATATTTGATTGATTTGCCAAAAGAAAAGTATACTACAGATTATCCTCTGAATATCTGAAAACCTACAAATCCTTAAGACTGGAGAATTTGGGATTCTTTTTAAAATTTAAATATATCTGAAGAGAATATGTAGAAAGATAGATTAATATGCCAGTTAATTAGTGGAGTATATTCTCCTAAACACAATGAGGAAGCAGTCCTGTGCTGATACAGAAGGTATTTCTAAAACAGCTTAGGTATGACTGTGATGTGGTGAGGGAGGGATACTGAGTGTCCGTCAGATGGCTGGGGTATGTAAGAAGACAGGTGTGGTGCACTAGGAGTTGGCCTATTTGAATTATTTTCTTGGCCTCCACATTTGTTTTCTTGTTGAACTTGAGGCAGATCTCTTAACATCCTTTGTACTATGGCCTCCCTGGATAAGAACTGAAATAATGACTGCTCTCCACCTCCTCCTGGGAGGGACTGTGATCCCAAGTATGTCAAATGCTTTGCCTTTGGGAAGGAAATTTGCTGCTTTTGTGTCTCCATTCTAGTCCCTAGTCTATGAAGGGTCCATTCTTCACAGTAATAACCAGTTAATGCCTGCTTTCACCACATCTTCTGTGTGTCCCCAACTCCTAAGCAGCACAGACAAATAGGACCTGACTGATCTCTATGAACGCATCCCATGAAGACTGTGCTACACTGCCTCTCGTCCCTTGTGTGTGGAATTTGTACATTTGCTCACATACCCTAGTCCAGTTCCAGGAGTTAAGGGCACAGCAGTGGAGTGTTCCTTCCAGGGACTATGGTCCATTATGGCGCAATAGGCTGTGGCAGCTTCACTTCCTAGGTGGCAGGTTCTGAGAGGAGGTCAGGAGGCTAGAGTGCAGGCAGCTGTTTAGGAGCTGGATGCACCTCTGGAAGGAAGGGTGCAGGGCTGGGCACAGAGAAGAAGAGTGTGATCAGATGCAGCAAAGGCCTTGGCCGCTCCTCAGGAAGCTCGGGGTCTGGCATGGCCCCACAGCTGTCTCATGGTCAGTGAAGCATGGAGCCTTTGCACCCACTCAGTGACCAGCCAAGCTTGGAGAGTATGTCGATCTACAGAGGAGACTGTATCTCCAGACACCAAGGTTCTTGTTCCAAAGGAGATCTCTTAGTTTCAGCTGCAAACTCACAAAGTCATTATGAAACCTACCATGAACATATTTGTAATATATTAGAAATATCATTAGGGTCAAAGACAGCAAAGACTATAAATCTCTTACATTTATAAATATCAGGAAGTGAAGGTGAATGAGAACAGCATTATATACTCTTAGCTGTCTGTGGGGAAGGCTTTTTGGAGCCTGCATAGGATTTACAATGGGGCTGGTATCAAAAGGTCATTCCCCAAGATACTTATAACTTCTCTTAAATTAAAAAAAAAAATCCATATGCATTTTTAAAGTTGCTTTCTTCTTTGCTAACCAATAACTATGCTGAGAATGAGCTCAGGATAGTAATAAATACAGGGTATTGGAGACAAGCCCGAATTCAGATTCAAATGTGCCTCCCTTTGTAGCCTGGGAAAAGTTATATAATCACTTTATTTTTTTTAAATTTTGGTATCATTAATGTACAATTACATTAGCAACATTATGGTTACTAGATTCCCTCCATTATCAAGTCCCTACCACATACCCCATTAGAGTCACTGTCCATCAGCGTAGTAAGATGCTATAGAATCACTACTTGTCTTCTCTGTGTTGTACAGCCCTCCCGTGACCACCCCCCAACATTATTACTGCTAATAGTAATGCCCCCCCTTTTTTTCCCCTTATCCCTCCCTTCCGACCCATCCTCCCCAGTCCCTTTCCCTTTGGTACCTGTTAGTCCATTCTTGGGTTCTGTGATTCTGCTGCTGTTTTGTTCCTTCAGTTTTTCCTTTGTTCTTATACTCCACAGATGAGTGAAATCATTTGGTACTTGTCTCTCTCCACCTGGCTTATTTCACTGAGCATAATACCCTGTAGCTCCATCCACGTTGTTGCAAATGGTAGGATTTGTTTTCTTCTTATGGCTGAATAATATTCCATTGTGTATATGTACCACATCTTCTTTATCCATTCATCTACTGATGGACATTTAGATTTACTTCCAGGTCTTGGCTATTGTAAACAGTGCTGTGATAAACATAGGGGTGCATATGTCTTTTTCAAACTGGGCTCCTGCATTCTTAGGGTAAATTCCTAGGAGTGGAATTCCTGGGTCAAATGGTATTTCTATTTTGAGTTTTTTGAGGAACCTCCTTACTGATTTCGACAATGGTTGAACTAGTTTACAGTCCCACCAGCAGTGTAAGAGGATTCCCCTTTCTCCACATCCTTGCCAACATTTGTTGTTGTTTGTCTTCTGAATGTTGGCCATCCTAACTGGTGTGAGGTGATATCTCATTGTGGTTTTAATTTGCATTTCTCTGATGATTAGCGATGTGGAGCATCTTTTCATGTGCCTGTTGGCCATCTGAATTTCTTCTTCGGAGAAGTGTCCGTTCAGATGCTCTGCCCATTTTTTAATTGGATTATTTGCTTTTAGTTTGTTGAGGCATGTGAGCTCTTTATATATTTTGGATGTCAACCCTTTATCGGATCTGTCATTTATGAATATATTCTCCCATACTGTAGGATGCCTTTTTGTTCTATTGATGGTATCCTTTGCTGTACAGAAGCTTTTCAGCTTGATATAGTCCTACTTGTTCATTTTTGCTTCTGTTTCCCTTGCCCGGGGAGATATGTTCATGAAGAAGTTGCTCATGTTTATGTCCAAGAGATTTTTGCCTAAGCTTTTTCTAAGAGTTTTATGGTTTCATGACTTAACATTCAGATCTTTGATCCATTTTGAGTTTACTTTTGTGTATGGCGTTGACAGTAATTCAGTTTCATTCTCTTACATGTAGCTGTCCAGTTTTGCCAACACCAACTGTTGAAGAGGCTGTCATTTCCCCATTGTATATCCATGCCTCCTTTATCTTATATTAATTGACCATATATGTTTGGGTTAATATCTGGACTCTATTCTGTTCCACTGGTCTGTGGCTCTGTTCTTGTGCTAGTACCAAATTGTCTTGATTACTGTGGCTTTGTAGTAGAGCTTGAAGTTGGGAAGTGAGATCCCCCCCCTGCTTATTCTTCATTCTCAGGAATGCTTTGGCTATTCAGGGTCTTTTGTGGTTCCATGAGAATTTTAGAACTATTTGTTCCAGTTTGTTGAAGAATGCTGTTGGTACCAGTTCGTTGGTACTTTGATAGGGTTTGCATTGAATCTGTAAATTGCTTTAGGCAGGATGGCCATTTTGACAATATTAATTCTTCCTAGCCAAGAGCATGGGATAAGTTTTCATTTGTTAGTGTCCTCTTTAATTTCTCTTAAGAGCGTCTTGTAGTTTTCAGGGTATAGGTCTTACACTACTTTGGTGAGGTTTATTTCTAGGTATTTTATTCTTTTTGATGCAATTGTGAATGGAATAGTTTTCCTGATTTCTCTCTCTGCTAGTACATCATTAGTGTATAGGAACACAACAGATTTCTGTGTATTAATTTTGTATCCTGCAACTTTGCTGAATTCATACATTAGTTCTATGGGTCAAAGAATCAGTTTTGGACTGGATTCTTTAGTGTTTTTTATGTACAATATCATGTCATCTGCAAATAGTGACAGTTTGACTTCTTCCTTACTAATCTGGATGCCTTTTATTTCTTTGTTTTGTCTGATTTCTGTGGCTAGGACCTCCAGTACTATGTTGAATAAAGCATGGAGAGTGGGTATCCCTGTCTTGTTCCCGATCTTAGGTGAAAAGCTTTCAACTTCTCGCTGTTAAGTATGATGTTGGCTGTGGGTTTGTCATATATGGCCTTTATTATGTTGAGGTACTTGCCCTCTATACCCATTTTGTTGAGAGTTTTTACCATGAATGGGTGTTGAATTTTGTTGAATGCTTTTTCAGCATCTATGGAAAGGATCATGTGGTTTTTATCCTTCTTTTTGTGTATGTGGTGGATGATGTTGATGGATTTTTGAATGTTGTAACATCCTTGCATTCCTGAGATGAATCCCACTTGATCATGGTGTATGATCCTCTTGG